TTGTGAAAAGAATCCGATACAAGTCATGGAGTCAGAGAAGCTCACTTCTTCCTGAGGACAGCAATACTGAGGTGAGATGTTGAGGATACAATGAACTTTTCTGTCGGTTAGCACCGCTGTTAGCTATTGTTATCCACTGTTACCGAGCATTAATGAAACTTTTTTTTTTTTAAGTGGACTCAAATTATATTCTCACATGAGAACAAATACGAGAGTTAATTCGCAGAGTGTCAAACTGTCAGTGAGAAAATGTGATTTTTAAGACACTGAAGCCTAACGTTAGCTGGCATAATAGCTTACAACCAGCTACTGTTGTTAAAGCCGGCTCATTCGTAGCTGCTGAAAATGAGTAATTGCAACAATATCTAGAACACATAAACATGTTTATACACATTTTCATGTGTTAGAGGCTTGACTTCAGCTCAGGTGATGAATCTTGAGGTGAGGAGGAAGAGTATGATTTTTTTTTTGTAGATGCTTGCCACATTGTCTCCTTTCTTTATATTTTCACTTCTATGGTAAAGCGGACCCCTTCTCAGATGATAAAACATAGGTATGAATCTTCATATTTGAAGGTGCAGTCATGAAATAAATAAAAGTTGCTCACTGATATTTGTTTCAGTGGGTTCTCTTAAGAATCAATAGAGATTTGCAAGCATTTCACTCACTGCAGTAGCTTGTAGATTAACTGCAAGAGAGCTGTTTTATAGGCTGCAAATTGATTAGTCTTAGCTGACCAGTTTGGCAGCCTCAAGCCATCATTTGCCAATTTATAAATGGTTCAAACACAGTCATTACACAAGGCCTCCTACTTACATTTTCCACACTAAATTATTGGGGCAGCATGATGAAGCAAAAAAAGTTCAATAAATTAAAACAGATCATGCAGCTTTACATAAAAGAAACCTCATTATTCATGCTACTTTTCCATAAAAGTCACCTTTGACAAGAGATCATCACAGACTGCGCCAAGAAAGTAAGATTTTCACTCAAATCTCTCATATTTATCGGGTATCTGTGGATAACAGTGATACTCACCAACACATTACATCCCTTTTCTCTCTTTTCCCTTTCCTGTTTTATGGCTTTAATAGGATCAATCAAGTGTAACTCAATCCTCATCTCCAGTATCCACTTTCCCTCCCATCTATGCCAATGGTAAGGGGAAGCCCTATAGATAGTATGGGCTGTGGTTTAATAACAAAATTTAATTAACAATATCCTGATCAAATGCAAATGACAAGCAAAACAGCCCGACTGCTGAGAAAGCATCTCAAATGGTAATGTTTAGCTGTGTGTGTGTGTTTTTAAATAATCTTCATTTTAAAATAATTTATATTACATATTCAGTTAAGATGTTTGGAGCCAAAATATTCTTCGACCCACTCAAGCACTTGAAGCATTAACTTGTCTCCCTCATGTGCTAAAATGAGCACACCTAAATATTCACTTATCAGCCACGAAATAGAAGCCATCTCCAGCTATTATGTCACAGGAGTACTGTCTGGTACTGGGATGCTGTTAAAGCATCCATTGTGTTATGTGGGTTGTATGATACATCCACTGAGCAGTTTCTGTGGTGTGGTAAGATACACTGTTCTCTGTGGGACGCCAACCCCATCAGGGGGTTGCTCGGTGTCCAATAACATGGGCAGTAATGCGTTAGAGTAGCATCCATATGAATGCTAGGACCAAATGTTTCCCACCTGAACAATTCATGGTAATGAAATGTCATGTTATACAGTTCAGCAGTCAGCAGTACCTATGTGATTCTTGAAAACCACTGAACTTACACAGGCTGAATTGTACTCCAATTAACCATCAAATATTGAGTGTTTTGTGAACGCTAGAATACCTCTGCTCATTTTTTATTCTGTTTAACTCAGCAATACCTTTGATTATATCCTTGAGCTCTAACAAATGTGTTTAATCCATTTCCTTCCTCTCAATTATTTACATCCATTTCTTTTGGCCTGCAGTCCTCTTCTTCTTCATCTTTATTTGCACATTGCTATATATCTTGGCATGTTGCTGCCACCTATAGGTCAGTATAGAAGAGTCACAGCATTTGTAGCACCGCATTCCATTTCCTTCTGGACAACACAAAAGAAATGGGGGACGACAAAGAGAAAAATAGACACAGCACACCAACCAGTCATGGCAGATGGTCGTCTTCTCTGAGCCTGGTTCTGCTGGAGGTTTCTTCCTGTTAAAAGGGAGTTTGTCCTTCTCACTGTCGCCAAACCGCTTGATCATAGGGGTCATATGATTGTTGGGGTTTTCTTTGTTGTATTATTGTAGGGTATAGCTTACAACATAAAGCGCCTTGAGGTGACTGTTGTTGTAATTTGGCACTGTATTAAATAAAACTGACTACAGACCTACAGAATACAGAGATGAAGGAGCCATGGACACTTTCACTGCAGTATTAAATTTACTGATACTGTTTATCAGTACCATTAAATAGGTGCTATAAAGACATACCGTCAAAAAACAAACAAACAAACAAATAAACAAAAAACACAGAGACATATGGTACACCCTAGGCCACTTCCACTCCCAGCAGAGCTTCGACAACATTCCATTGGTAGACTAGGGACATTGAGTCATTGCTGAACCTGCTACACAGAGCTGTGGCTGCAAGGTAGTTGGTGTCTGGCATGGGTGTAACCCCTGAACCAAATGGTCAACACTGAAGGTGAAGAGCGTAATCGAACTAAAGAGGGAGTCCTAACCTAGCTTGGTTAGCCTGTAGGACTTTGGAGGCAGCCGATAGTTACCAACAGGCCAAGCAGAACACATCTCGGGCAGTGCCTGAAGCAAAAACTGGGCTGTGGGAGGAGTTTGGAGAGGCCATGGAAAAATACTTTTTGACTGCCTCGAATGGTTTCTGGAAAACAATCAGTCGACTCAGGAGGGGAAAGTGGTGGTCTACCTGCACTGTGTATAGTGTGGGTGGAGCACTGCTGACTTTAACTAAGAATTTTGTTGGACGGTAAAAGATCTTTGATAAGCCAAAGGTCTGATTGGCAAACTGGGGTGGTTGTTCCCATCTTTAAAAAGGGGGACCAGAGGTTGTGCTCCAACTATAGGGTGATCACACTCCTCAGCCTCCCAAAAGCTATGTCAGGGTGCTGGAAAGTAGAGTATCTGAGGTTCGACTAACAGCTGGTTAGTCGAACCTCGGGATACAGGAGGAACAATGTGGTTTTTGTCCCAAATAACTGCCCTGGTCACGGAACACTGGACCAGCTCTTTATACTCTTGAGAATGATTGAGGGTTCATGGGAGGTAGCCCAAGCAATCTACATGTGTTTTGCGGACTTGCAGAAGCCATACCCTCTGAGTATTCTGTGTGAAATGCTTCGGGAGTATGCGTGGTCGGACCCGTTGCTAAGACCCATTCGATCCCACAGAAACTGTTGCTTTGTCCGCATAGCCAGCAATAAGTCAGACTCGTTCCCAGTGGGTTTTGGACTTTGCTAGTGCTGCCCTTTGTCACAGATTCTGTTCATTTTTTCTGGAGCAGTTTGCAGCCGAGTATGAAGCGACGGAATGAGAATCAGCACCTCCAAGTTTTACGCCATGGTCGTCAGCTAGAAAAAGATGGAGTGCCCACTCCGGGTCAGGGATGCGTTATTGTCCCACGGAAGAGTTTAAATATTTCAAGGTCTTGTTTAGGAGTGATGGGCAAGGGGAGTGGGAGATTGACTCAAAGCGAAAAAGCAAAGGTCTCGATTTACTGGTCGTCCAACGTCCCTACCCTCAACTATTGTAAAGAGCCTTGGGTAGTGACCAAAAGAATAAGGTTCTGGATGCTAGCGGCGGAAATGAGCTTTCTCATATTCATATCCAGGACACGTTGGACAGATAATAGCTCTCGGCTGCCCTGGGAATCTCTTGGTGTTTCCTCAAACAAGCTGGAGGAGGTGGCTAGATTAACATTTAAGATACCTGTTAAATACAATTTAATGTTGTTGAAACAGGAGCGTTACTGACCTTCGTGCTAGTTGCTTCGTGTTAGTTACTAATTTAAATGCAAATTTATATTTAACTGAACATATAGTAAAAAAGTGTAACTGCTTTATTTCAAAGACATAAAAAAATCCATAAAATGCTATGCGATTAAAGTTATTTAACTAGACCACACTGTATTTTAAAGGGTCATTACATAAACATCAATTTCAGTATATAAATATTAGCCATGCATTGTGGGAGCAGGTAAAGCCTGTTAGAAAATGAATGGAGAGGTCTTTGAGAGGGAATAATTGCAGCATTATTCCTTTGAGAACTTGATATGGGAAACAAATGCAAATACTAATCAGTCACACTGCTATGTATTGGCCATGTAAATAGCTCTGTGGTAAATTTGTGTTTCGTTTCTTTGTGTGGGTATGTTTGTGTGTGTGTGTGTGTGTGTGTGTGTGTGTGTGTGTGTGTGTGTGTGTGTGTGTGTGTGTGTGTGTGTGTGTGTGTGTGTGTGTGTG